TAGTCTAGGTGCATGTGAGCCTGGTAGCACTGTTACAGCACCTGTGGAGGCTTTACACACATTCACGCTTGACTCAGGCGCGACTCGCTGCTTCTTCCGCGACTGCACCACAGTCACACCGCTCACTGCACCTGTCCCGGTCAGTCTCGCTGACCCCTCTGGGGGCCCAGTCATAGCACGTGCCTCCACCGTTCTCCCTTGTCCGGCAGCCCCCTCAGGCTCCCTCACAGGTCTCCACCTCCCCTGGTTCTCTAAGAACTTGGTGAGTAACTCTGTCCTCCAGGACCAGTTTGTCACTGTAACTACTCCTGGGGGTGAGCTTGTGGCGATCTGTACGGACTCACGCACTGGCGAGCACCTCGCCACTTTCACTCGGAGCCCTGGGTCTGGCCTGTACACACTGACCACTGAGTCCGCACAGGTAGCTGCGTCGGGTCAGGTAGCTGCGTCAGGTCAGTTCGCTGCGTCTTGTTCGTGCCGGCTACTCTCGCACCAGACTCTCCTCTGGCACCACCGTCTTGGTCACCCCTCCCTGCCGCGCTTGCGTGGCATGCACTCTCGTCTCCTTGTCTCTGGCCTCCCCAGGTCCCTGCCCCCGCTCCCGCGCTCGCTTGCACCGCCGTGCCTTCCCTGCGTCGAGGGGCGGCAGCGCGCCGCTCCTCACTCCTCCTCGTTTCCGCCGACCACTGCTCCTCTGCAGACTCTCCACATGGACGTGTGGGGCCCAGCCCGCGTCCGTGGACAGGACCAGAAGCGCTACTTTCTGCTGGTTGTTGACGACTACACGCGCTACACCACGGTCTTCCCCTTGCGGAGCAAGGCGGATGTCCGAGGTGTTTTGATCGACTGGATCATCGTTGTTCGTCGCCAGCTGAGCGCTCGGTTTGAGCAGGACCTTCAGGTCCTGCGACTGCACTCTGACAGAGGCGGTGAGTTTTCCTCCGGCCTCCTTTGGGACTTTTGTCGTGCGGAGGGCATTTGCCAGACGTTCACGCTTCCGGCCTCTCCGCGGCAGAATGGGATTGCTGAGCGCCGCATTGGCTTAGTCATGGACGTTGCTCGCACCTCCATGATCCATGCGGCTGCTCCTCATTTTCTGTGGCCGTTTGCGGTCCGATACGCCGCGCATCAGCTCAACCTCTGGCCCCGTGTCTCTGTGCCAGAGACCTCGCCTACATTGCGTTGGACGGGGGAGGTTGGCGACGCGTCGGCGTTTCGGGTCTGGGGCGCGCTCTCCCTTGTTCGTGATACCACCGCGAGCAAGCTCTCTCCTCGCACTCTCCGCTGCATCTTCCTTGGCTTCCCCACCGACGCCCCACCCTGGCAGTTTTACCACCCTGTCTCGCGCCGGGTCCTGTCTTCACATGACGTCACCTTTGACGAGTCGGTCTGCTTCTACCGTCTCCACCCGCACACATCTTCCCCGCTCTCCCCGCCGCCCCTCTTCCTAGTCCCAGGTCCTCCTCCGGTAGACCCCCTCCCCCCGCAGGGTCCTGCTCCCTCAGGTGTGTCTCAGGTCGACCCACCCCCCTTGGTTGAGCCTTTCGAGGTCTCATCTGACACCTCTGGCCCAGCTGAGGGGGGTGACCCCGCGGCTAACGACACGGCGACGACTCGCCGCTCCCCGCGCTTGGAGACCCCTCCTGGTTTTCCGCCTCAGCAGTCTTCGCCGCCTCCGCAGCCTGTCGCTGTGGGCTCTGGTGGTTCTGGGGGTGCTGAGTCTGGGGGTGCCGGTTCTGGGGGTGCTGAGTCTGGGGGTGCTGGTTCTGGGGGTGCTAGAGCTGCTGGTGCTGTAGGTGCTGGAGCTGGAGGTGCTGCTGGTGCTGGAGGTGCTACTGGTGCTGGAGGTGCTGGAGCTGGAGCTGCTCGAGCTGGAGGTGCTGGAGCTACTGGTGCTGGAGGTCCTGGAGGTACTGGAGGTGTTGGAGGTGCTGGAGCTACTGGTGCTGGAGGTCTTGGAGGTGCTGGATCTGCTGGTGCTGGAGGTACTGGAGCTACTGGTGCTGGAGGTGCTAGAGCTGGAGGTACTGGAGGTGCTAGAGCTACTAGTGCTGGAGGTGCTAGTGCTGGAGCTGCTGGTGCTGGAGGTGCTAGAGCTGGAGGTGCTGGAGGTGCTGGGAATGGAGGTGCTGGAGGTGCTGGAGCTGCTGGTGCTGGAGGTGCTGGAGGTGCTCGAGCTACTGGTGCTGGAGGTCCTGGAGGTGCTGGAGCTGCTGGTGTTGGAGGTGCTAGAGCTGGAGGTACTGGAGGTGCTAGAGCTGCTGGTGCTGGAGGTGCTAGAGCTGGAGGTGCTGGAGGTACTAGAGCTGGAGGTGCTGCTGGTGTTGGAGGTGCTGGAGCTGGAGGTACTGGGGGTGCTGGAGCTGCTGACGGTACGGTTACTGTGCCGCTTCGACCGTTTTTCTACCCGCAGCCGCAGTCGTCCCTGCCACCGCCTGACTCGGCCCTTCGCCAGGTTCTTAGTCTCCCGTCTTCCACTGGCCTCACTCCACCTCTCCTGTGTCCACCGACAGACATGTCTCAGCCACAGCTACTGCCTGGCTCCCCGCTGCCTGCTCCTGCTCCTCACACTGAGGTGACGGCGTCCCTGACTGTGCGTCGTGAGCCTCAGACTCGTGCTTCCACACCTGTTCGTGCTCGTCGTGTCCCACGTCCCCGTCCTCCTGCTGTCCCAGGCACTCACGTTATGGAACTTCGTCCTTCCTCTCTTCCACAGCGTGTTGCCCTGCCGTCTCCTCCTGTGTCCTCTCTTCCTGACGTTCCTGACCCTGAGTCCGACCTTGCTCGTGCTGCCAGTCCTACTGTCACTCGTCTCCTCGCTACTGTTGTCACTGACCCTGACTTTGAGTCTACTGCTGCGTTTGCCCTAGTCACTGAGCTAGTCGCCTTTGCTGCTATGAGTCGTCTCGACTACGTCGCGAGTCTTGTTACTGAGTCTGAGTCTGTCTGTCCTCCGTCCGTCGGGGGTGAGCTTGCCCTTGGCTGTAACGTCCTTGAGGACAGGCAGTTTGAGCTTGAGTGTCTCGCGGCCGCTTTACCTCGTTTCGCGTCCATGCTGCTTTGCCCTGAGGGAGACCCGGATGCACTTGACATCCCCACCCTGCGCTCTTACGGAGAGGCGATCACGGGTGAGTACTCCTCTCAGTGGCAGACAGCCATGGATCGAGAGATGGCTTCCTAGAAGTCCACAGTCACCTACGTCGACGAGGTTCCCCCTCCTGGGGCGAACATAGTCGATGGCATGTGGATTTTCAGAGTGAAGCGGCCGCCGGGTTCTCCGCCTGCCTTCAAGGCGCGTTACGTTGCTCGAAGATTCAGTCAGCGACAGTGGGTCAACTTCTTCCAGACCTTCTCCCCCACCCCGAAGATGACTACTCTTTGGGTGTTGCTGCACGTTGCAGCACAGCGTGACTACGAGCTGCACTCCCTCGACTTCTCCACAGCTTTCTTGCAGGGAAGCCTTCACGAGGAGATCTGGCTGCGCCGCCCACCTGGCTTCACTGGGTCGTTTCCAGAGGGTACCTAGTGGAGCCTCCGACGGCCAGTCTACGGTCTCCGCCAGGCGCCCCGCGAGTGGCACGACACACTGAGGACGACACTTGCGGCTTGCTCCTTCCACTGCTGACCCGTCGCTGTTTCTCCGCTCCGACTCTACTCTGCCGCCGTTCTACATCCTCGTGTACGTCGACGACTTGGTCTTTGCTACTGCCGACACTGAGGCGCTGACCCTTGTGAAGGCGCAGCTGCAGAAGAGACACACTTGCACTGGCCTGGGTGAGCTGCGCAGCTATCTTGGCTTGCAGATCACCCGGGACAGAGCACGGTGCACCATCACTCTGACTCAGTCACACATGGTGCACCAGGTCCTTCAGCGCTTCCTCTTTCGGTTCTCCTCGCCACAGCCCACTCCTCTGCCTACAGGCCACTCGCTCTCAGCTCCACCTTCGGACGAGTCCGTAGAGCCGAGTGGCCTGTATCCAGAGCTTGTGGGCTGCCTCATGTACCTGATGACGTGCACACGACCTGACCTCGCGTACCCTCTCAGCATCCTTGCTCGCTTCGTCGCCCCCGGGTGACACAGGAAGGAGCACTGGACAGTTGCGCAGAGGGTACTGCGTTACTTGTGCAGTACATCGGTCATGGGGCTTGTGCTTGGAGGACGGGGTCCAGTGGTACTCACAAGACACTCCGACGCTTGTTGGGCTGACGACCATGCAACTCAGCGGTCGTCCCAGGGTTACTCTTTCAGTATCGGCTCTGGTTCTGTCTCGTGGAGGTCCACTCGTTCGTCTTCTGTGCTTGGTTCCAGCCGAGATCTACGCTGGGGCCATGGCTGCACAGGAGTTACGCTGGCTGACCTACCTGCTGACCGACTTGGGTGAGCGGCCTCGTTGACAACAAGGCCATGATTGCCTTGTGTCAGGAGCAGCGACTGGAGCACAGAACGAAGCACATTGCTCTTCGTTACTTTCTTGCTCGGGAGCTGCAGCAACGTGGTCAGCTGAGCCTTGCTTACGTGGCCTCTCGGGCCAACACTGCTGATGTCTTCACCAAGGCCCTTGGGTCTGGTGATCATCAGCGTTTCTGCACTGCTCTAGGCCTTGTGCCTACTCCGCCTCACCTGCTGGTTGCTTGACTTGTCTTGTACTGTGATCTATATCTATATATACCTGCATGCTTGTTCTTGCTAGGTTGTGATCACTGTATTGCTTGTGCTTTTATAACTCTGCATGTGAACATGCCTTGTGGCCGCTTGCTTGTCCTCAGAATGCGTGGTGATCTTGAGATCCACCCTGAGCTTTGCTTTGCTTTGTTCTCTTGCTTGACTGGTCTTGTGACCGTCCGCTGTGTTTGCTATCCCCCACTTTGCCTATGGGGGTGTGTCAAATTGTATTTGTTCTCTGTAGGTTGTAGTGGGGCATACCCTAAAGGGTACAACACTTTAGGGTTAGGCAGTACTTGTACTCATGCTTCCTACCTAGTCAATCATTCGTACGTTCCTATTCTGACATGCAGGCGCGGGCGCAACAGGCACGGTTGCGGCAGCTGCGAGCGCAAGCGCAGCAGGCGCGAGCGGCGGCGGGTGCGACGGCATCAGGCTCGAGCGCAGCGTCGGTAGGCCCGGGCGCGGCAGGCGTGAGCGCGGCAGCGGTAGGGGCGAGCGCAGGAGCGAGCGCGGCAGGCGCGGCGGCAGCAGGCGCTGGTGCGAGCGGGGCAGCAGGCGCGGGCGTGGCTGGCGCTAGCGCAAGCGCAGCGGTAGGTAGGAACGGGTGGGCCGACGAGGCCGCCAGGCGAAGCGCTAGGGCTGGACTGCGAAAGGGGTGCGACGAGGTCGCCAGAGGGGTGAACCACGGCGTTAGTCGCAACGTGTCTGCGAGAGGGGCGTAAGTGTAGGTCCCTAACCTAGCAATGATATCTAGTAAGAATATGAATGACTAGCTAGAATGAGGGTATATAGTTGGGAAATGTTTAGTACAACTCAACCTAGCTTTACAAAAAAACACATGCAAATGTATGTATATGTACTTCTCTACTCGTGATCCCACCACTTTGTTCTTTACGAAATACTGTGGTACACTCAGTGCATTGTACAGATACAAAATTCTACAGGTTTAGTAGGTACTAGTGATCAATTTATCAAAATTTGGATAAGATTTGTGTCCATCAAGCAGCATAACGAAGCAGCACACCATCATTCCCAAGAATAAAGCCCTTTCCATAAATGAACCTGCCCACACAAGCACATGCCAAGTACAACAATAAATCATTACTTCTCCGCTGAGGGGAAAAAGTTAAAGAGCAGCAACAGCAGCAGCAGCAGCAGCAGCAGCATTGGGAGAGGGGGGGGGGGAGGAGGGGGGAGGGGGGGGGGGGGGGGGGGGGGGGGGGGTTGAAAGAAGCATGAACTCACTTGACGTTGTAGAGGTTGGCTGCCAGGTTGTCAGCCACTCGGTCCCGCACCCATGACTTGCCTCCATCCGCCGTCTTGAGCAGCACCCCACTGCCGCCCGCTGCCCACGCCTCGTCCTGAACCAAGTAGGGAGACAAGGGACACAGGAAAATAGGGAGGTGGGGACAGAGATAGGGGTGACAGGGAAGCGGAATCTGAGGGCGGAAAGGCGGCTTCAGAGGACAGAAGGGCACCGGAAGAGATGAGAGAGGAGAGGCGAGAACAGTGGCTGCGACTAAACTGCAAGCACATAGTTCCAGCAATCACCCTCACACACACACACACACACACACACACACACACACACACACACACACACACAAAATTCATTCCTTACCAACACTCTCTTAATTGCGTGTAACACACAGCAATCATTGTACCCATCACAGTCCCATAGTTGTTGTACCCATGACTTACATTGCTTTTGTAACCGAGATCGAGCAGTCCGAAGCCACGGCTGGCAATGCGCACCTCCTCAAACGCCTCCGACACCTGCCCAGGGATAAGGAGTGAGAGACGGCAGGACAGGATTTAGGGGGCGGCAGGACAGGAGTGAGGGGCGGCAGAACAGAGGTAAGGGGCGGCAGCACAGGGGTAAGGAGTGGCACAGGAGTGAGGGGCGGCAAAACAGGAGAGGGGCGGCAGAACAGGAGTGAGGCAGCATAACAGGAGTGAGGGGCGGCAGCACAGGAGTGAGGGGCGGCAGCACAGGAGTGAGGGGCGGCAGCACAGGAGTGAGGGGCGGCAGAACAGCCCATGAGAACAAGAGGGCCTGAGCACACGAGTATTTAAGCGCAAGAGCACATGAGTGCATGTGCACATGAGCACACACAGCAAAGCTTGACCTTAGCCTCTTGACTTTTCCACCAACACAATTGCTGCATCAACCATTTCTTCCGCCTAGCTCTCAAACCCCCTCAAAGCAATGTATTCAACCTCCCACGCACCCCCTGCTTCATCCGCACTGATATCCAACACCTCCTCTCTCTACCCTCCACCTCCACTCATCCCTTCCTCCCCTCCACCACCCTACTCACCCCTCTCCTCTCTCCCGTCCACCCGCCCACCCGTGAGCCCTCGCACTCACCCCCTCCCCCTGGCCGAGGAAGAGGCCTCCGCCGCGCACGAGCAGCCAGAGCCCGCCATCGGCGCGCCACCCCATGTTCTGGATGCGCCGCGCGCTGCTGCGGTTGTGCGGCTGCCAGAACGTCTGCACGCAGGCAGCGCACGGGGGGCGATGGCGCGAGCAGGGGAGGAGGGCGAGGCAGCGAGCAAGAGAACATGTTGGGCAGTGGGAGCGGGGAGAAGTTGGGTGTGGGGAGAATGGGGGAGATGGGACAAAGGGGAATGGGTGGGGGAGGGCAGATGGGTGCGGATGACAGTGTGTGCGGCCAGGCAGCCTGTCTCGGCTGACCAGAGCGAGGGATGGAGAGGGGAGGAAGGGGAGGGGGGGGAGGTGTGGGGGGTGGGAAGGTGGAGGGCGTGAGCGCACCTGGCCGGGTTCCCAGGTGAGGAAGAAGTTGCCGCGGCTGGACACGGCCACGTAGCTGCCGTCGGGCGAGCGGTTGATGGTGCTCACGCTGCCCGTGTAGTAGCTCGCGCCCGTGATGCCGCTCGATACAGTGCGGTTGAGCGTGGCGGAGATGGTTTCCTCAACGGCGGCGCGCCAGTTGTAGCCGCCGTTGGCCGTCACGTAGATGGCACCCTCGTCCGTCACCATCTCCGCCGCGCGCTCGCCCGTCGCGCAGATCGCCACCTGCAGCGCGCGCAAGTGGGCAGGCGGACAGGCGGGCGGACAGGCGGACAGGCGTGCATGCGGAGGGTCCGCAGTAGGGAGAAGGGGGTTGGGAGGGGCAGGGAGAACCGGAGGGAGGATGGAGAAAGAACGTGAGGGGGTGGACGAGAAGGTCAAGACACCGAGGTGGAACGCCATGATGGTTGACAGTGGAAGCACGAATGATTGGTGCACTCGCCGCGTTCCTGAACTGACTAACATGGCTCGCAGCAGCGCGACTCACAGGGGTGCCGGGGAGGCGCGCGGAGAGCGGGACGCGCGTCCACGTGGTGCCGGCGTCGCTGGTGTGGAGCAGGATGGCGGGCTTGCCGACGATCCACCCCTCCTTGCCCTGGAAGCTGATGGCGTTGAACCGGTAGTTGAAGTCCTCCTCCTCCGCCGAAGGGATCTCCTTCGCCGCCCACGTTCGCCCGCCGTCGCGCGTCTCCAGCAGCGTCTGCCGCGTGCCCAGCAGGAACCCTGCGCCAAGCACGCGGGAGAGTGCAGCCGGGAGTGACAGAGATGGCTGAGGTGACAGAGATGGCTGAGGTGACAGAGATGGCTGAGGTGGCGAGCATGCGCGCGCCGTGAGACAAAAGGAGAACCCTAATTCACGCGCATGCGTGCTGGCCGCAAAAAGGCGGCGAAGATAAGAGAACGCATAGACGCGGCGAAGCCAGGAGAATGAATGCGGCCGCGGCATCACGCGCCATGATGAGAACCGTTCATATCCAATGAACCATTGCTTGTTCCACAATCAATTTTGTCCGCTGCTGCCGAGGGTGTAAACAGAACTTATTCGCTGCCTGGGTTTCTGTTACAGCACCCCCATGAAAAGGGCCTCTTTGATGTGCTATTCCGGGGAATGGGGCCGGCGGACACGAATCGCGACGTGCATGATTGGCGCATGGATGGGGAATGCAAGGATGGGAGATGCAAGGCAGGCCTTGCGTACCGTGGTCGGGCTCGTCGGGAACGAAGGCGATGTCGAGCAGCACGACGCCCGGTGCGACGGGCAACGGCACCTGCTCCCACTCCGACAGCTCCTCCGCCGCCACTGCCCGCCCCACCACCGGCGGCACCACGCTCAGCGCACCGGCCAACCCGCCGGCGAGCATCACGCCGCGACGGCTGATGGCGGCGTCGCTGGCATTGTCGGCGGACGCGCGGCATAGCAGTGGCGACGCTGGAGTGGATGTGTGCGACACGCTGTGCTTGCTCTCCTGCTGACGCGCTCCCACCCTCAGGCCGGATACGGCTGGAATGGAAATTTGCTGAACTGCCGCCGTGTGAGGAGCCGGGGACAAAATGGAGTTGGGCAGGACAGGCGACGAGAGGGTGAAAGACGCCATGGCGTTCGGGTTGAGGAACAGAGCAAAATTCGTGTTGCTTCAATGTCACCTCGGACAATGGGAGTTGAGACTTGGATGGGAGATGAGACTTGGATGGAATTTGGGTTGGATATGCTCGGGGTGGAAGAATCGGGGACTGCCAGCCACCCTAGCCTGGGCGGACTTCGGGTTCGCCAGACCAGACGCGACTGTGGTAGTGACGTGCTCGCGATCCAAATTCGGTAGCTACGTGGATGCATTCAAATGGACATTCGTGTCAGCACCAGAACAACCGAGTACTCGAGAACTCTGATTCGAGAAGCATACCTGGAAACATCACTCTTGTTTGTTGTTGTGTAACTGAAAACACAATCACTCTTATAAGTTGTAAAAGCTGAATAAGCAGAAATGTCAATCTCAAAGAAATGATTACATCTCATACGAATGAGAACTCTGACAAACATAGCGAGGAATCCCATCTAGTCGGGTGTTAGATTCACCAAAGGATTATTAAGGCATTCCCAAAGTATAGGAGTAGCGCGACACCCTCACATAGAGAATGTACACTCCCACTATCGCGATAACCCGTAAAAAATACGCGAAAGTAGGGAGGTGGAAAGTCAACAGTCGCTAAGTCAAATGCATCGACTGTTGACTGACCCGACCGGAGGATACGCGCTGCACATAATAACTGTTGGATTAAATCAAAGTCGCTTTTAGCATTCGAGATGGTGCAGCCTCATCGCACCTGCTACTAGCGAAGTAACACATGTATCACTACCGTGTTAGCCTATACAGGGCACGCAGGTCAACAGTCGCGGGTCAACTGCCGCGACTGTTGACCGACCTGGACCAGGAGGTTGCGATCTGCTTCAACTGTCGCAACCGTATCGGAGGTTACAGACTGCAATGAGGTAACCGTAGGGATCGCAATAGTCACTGCTACTCTAGCGATACATGTATTACCGTTAATAAGGGAGTGTACTGTCAGAAAGAAGGAACGAGAATGAATTGACTAACAGCAGGATGGGTACAAGTACTAACCCTAATTGGGTTGTACCTCTTACGGGCTACCCCACTACAGCCTAAACAATAAGCAGCACATATATGTTTGACACACCCCCATAGGCAAAGTGGGGGAGAACAAGAGGTCACAAGACCAGTCAAGAAAAGCAAAACAAGCTCAGGGTGGATCACGACGTCACCACGCATTCTGAGCACAAGCAAATGGCCACAAGGCCAGTTCACATGCAGAGTTATATAAAGGAGAACAAGCAGTACAGTGATCACAACCAAGCAAGTGTAAGCATGCAGGTATATGTATATAGATCACAGTACAAGCAAAGTCAAGAAGTGAGCAAGTGAGGCCAAGTAGGCACAAGGCCTAGAACAGTACAGAAACGCTGATGATCACAAGGCTGAAGTGCCTTGGTGAAGATATCAGCAGTGTTGGCCTGAGAGGCCACGTAAACAAGACGAAGCTGACCACGCTGCTGCAACTCTCGAGCAAGGAAGTAGCGCAGAGCGATGTGCTTCGTTCTGTGCTCCAGTCTGTGCTCCTGACACAAGGCAATCATGGCCTTGTTGTCGACGTACAGAACCGGAGGAGAACGAGGCGGCTCGCCCAAGTCGGTCAGCAGGTAGGTGAGCCAGCGTAACTCCTGTGCAGCCATGGCCCCTGCGTAGATCTCAGCCTCACAACTGGAGCTGAGAACAGAAGACGAGCGGGTAGACCGCCACGAAACAGAGCCGGAACCAAGGCTGAAGGTGTAACCCTGTGACGACCGCTGCATAGCCAAGTCGTCAACCCAAGAAGCGTCTGCGTGACCAGTGAGGACAACTCGAGCCCGTCCTCCAAGCACGAGCCCCATTCCCGACGTACTGCACAAGTAGCGCATCACCCTCTTAGCGGCCTTCCAGTGCTCTGGTCGGTGTCTCCCGGGCGCAACGTAGCGAGCCAGGATGCTAAGAGGGTAAGCAAGGTCAGGTCGAGTGCAGGTCATCAGGTACATGAGGCAGCCCACAAGCTCTGGATACGGGCCACTCGGCTCTACTGACTCATCCGAAGGCAGAGATGAGAGCGAGTGACCGGTAGGCAGAGGAGTGGCCTGTGGCGACCTGCTGCACCATGTGTGACTGAGTCAAGGTAATGGTGCACCGTGCTCTATCCCGGGTGATCTGCAAGCCAAGATAGCTGCGCAGCTCACCCAGGTCTGTGCACGTGTGTCTCTTCTGCAGCTCCGACTTCACGTGGGCAAGTCCAGCAGTGTCAGCAGTGGCAAAGACCAAGTCGTCGACGTACACGAGGATGTAGAACGGCGGCAGTGAAGTGTCGCTGCGTAGAAACAGCGACGGGTCAGCAGTCGAAGGAGCAAACCCAAGAGCCGCAAGCGTCGTCCTCAGTGTGTCGTGCCACTCGCGAGGCGCCTGGCGGAGAGCGTAGACTGGCCGCCGGAGGCTCCACTGGGTACCTGCAGGAAACGACCCAGTGAAGCCAGGTGGGCGGTGCAGCCAGATCTCCTCGTGCAGGCTGCCCTGTAAGAAAGCAGTGCTGAAGTCAAGAGAGTGAAGCTCGTAGTCACGTTGAGCGACGACGTGCAGCAGAACCCGAAGAGTGGTCATCTTAGGGGTAGAGGAGAAGGTCTGGAAGAAGTTAACTCCCTGTCGCTGACTGAAGCCTCGTGCAACGTAACGCGCCTTGAAGACAGGCGGAGAACCCGGCGGCCGCTTCACCCTGAAAATCCACATGCCACTGACGATGTTCGCCCCAGGTGGGGGAACCTCGTCGACGTAAGTGCCTGTGGACTTCCAGGATGCCATCTCTGCGTCCATGGCTGTCTGCCACTGAGAGGAGTAGGGACCCTCTATCGCCTCTGCGTAAGAGCGCGGGGTCGGGATGTTTGGTGCATCCGGGTCTCCCTCAGGTGCAATTAGCATGGACACGAGATGAGGTACAGCAGCTGCAAAACAAGTCCTCCTGCCTGTCCTCAAGGACGTCCGTGCCAAGAATACACTCACCCCCGACGGACGGAGGACAGACAGACTCAGACTCAGCAACAAGACTAGCGGCGTAGTCTAGACGACAGGCGGCAGCAAAGTCAATAAGCTCAGCAACTAGGGCAGACGCAGCAGTGGACTCAAACGAAGGTCAGTGACAACAGTAGCTAGAAGACGTGTGACAGTAGGACTGGCAGCACGAGCAAGGTCTGACGGCGGGTCAGGGACGTCAGGAAGAGAGGACGCTGGAGGAGACGACAGAGGGACACGCAGTGGAACAGAGGCAGGACGAGGTGCCATCTGGTGCGTGCCGGGGACAGGAGGAGGACGCTGACGCGGAACACGACGACCAGTGCGAACAGCGCGAACAGGCGACGCAGGACGAGACTCAGGCTCACGACGCTCAGCAAGACCTCCGGTCTCAGTGTAAGGAGAAGGACCAGGCAATGGGGAGGCCGGCTGTAACTGCGACTGCGACTGGTCAGGCGGTGGACGGAGTAAGGGAGGAGTAGGACCAGTAGAAGGCGGGAGGCCAAGAACCTGCTGAAGGAGTGGAACGAAGTACGGCCGCGGCCGCGCAGCGCCTCCAGAACCAGCAGAGACAGCACCAGGACCCTCAGGTCCAGGGTCTCCAGCTCCAACGCCTGCACTACCACCAGCTCCAGCACCTCCAGCAGCTCCAGCTCCAGTAGCACCTCCAGCTGCAACAGCTCCAGCGCCTCCAGCTCCAACTCCTGCAGCACCACCAGCTCCAGCAGCTCCAGTACCTCCAGTACGAGCACCTCCGGGACCAGTGGCTCCAGCAACTCCAGCAGCTCCGGCACCTCCAGCTCCAGCAGCACCTCCAGCTCCAGCAGCTCCAGTACCTCCAGTACGAGCACCTCCGGGACCAGTGGCTCTAGCACCTCCAGCAGCTCCAGCACCAGCAGCACCTCCAGCTCCAGCAGCACCTACAGCGGTAGGCCCCCCAGCTCCAGCTGCACGGCTCCAGCGCCGAACAAACCACTCGCGCAGCTGCGGTGGAGAGAGTGGCTCCCGCCGTGACAAGACACCTGTAGGACCTCCTGAGGACAAAGTACCTCCAGGCTCAGCACGCCCAGACTCAGCACCCCCAGACTCAGCACCTCCAGGCTCAGCACCCCCAGGCTCCGCACGCTCAGGCTCAGCACCCTCAGGCTCCGCACCCTCAGACTCAGCAACCCCAGGCTCAGCACCCCTAGGCTCCGCACGCTCAGGCTCAGCACCCCCAGGCCCCGCCGCAGGCTCAGCACCCCTAGCAGCACCAGAGTCGACAGCTACCTCGACAGGCTCGACAGGGTCTACCTGGGACACACCTGAGGGGGCAGGACCCTGAGGGGGGAGGGGGTCTACCGGAGGAGGACCTGATGCTAGGAAGAGCGGCGGAGGGGGGAGAGGGGCAGTGCGGTAGGGGAAGAGACGATTGTAAGGAACCGACTCGTCAAACGTGACGTCCTGAGAGGACAGAACACGACGCGAGGTGGGGTGGTAAAACTGCCAACCAGGCGCGTCAGGGGGGAAGCCAAGGAAGACGCAGGGAACAGCATGGGAGGACAGCTTGTCCGCGGAAGAATCGCGGACAAAAGCTCGAGATCCCCAGACACGGAACACAGACGCATCGCCAACCTTCCCCGTCCACCGCAGAGCAGGTGTGCTCTCCGACATGGAGACACGGGGCTGGAGGTTGAGCTGATGCGCAGCGTACTGGACCGCGAACGGCCACAGAAAATGGGGAGCAGCCGCATGGATCATGGACGTACGAGCGACGTCCATGACCATGCCAATGCGGCGCTCAGCAATCCCATTTTGCTGTGGGGAGGCCGGAAGCGTGAACGTCTGGCGGATGCCCTCCGCACGACAGAAGGCCCGCAGAAGGTCGGAGGAAAACTCACCACCTCTGTCGGAGCGTCGACGCAGAACAGGAAGGTCCGAGCCGAAACTCTCGTTGAGCTGGCGACGGGCAGCGTGGATCCAGGTGATCAACACCTCAGTGACCTCACCCTTGC